CTCTGGTGCAGCGTGGATTTCGCCATTTCGTGTTCTTCTTCCGATAATCTGGGTTTCTTGCGTGTTTGTGGGATGGGGTTCGGCAACCCCTGCGGGCGGGATCGCCATCGGGCCGAAGCTAGTTCCCGCTCGGCACACAATGAAGCGTCGCAGCCACAACACAATAGCAGATAATGAATGATATTCAATTCAATCGTCCAAAATATCCCTCTGTCCTAGCCGGTTGTGTACCCATTACAGTACCAACAAAGTACACTAGGTTCTTCCTTTTCAGTACAGTATCTGTCAGATACAGTATGTCCGGATCGCCAGTGGTACAGAGTGTCCCGTTACGATACCGCCAGTGGTCTGTTCTATACACTGAGTTGCAAAAACGGTGCCCAGGTGCTGTACTCTCTTCTTTCAAATTGTGGGTCCTCTAGGCTATAAATGGATGAAATTATTATTAGTAATCAACTCTTAATAGAATTTATTAGTTTAAATTTAAACTGCTAACCATATGTGGGCTAGAGGGCCCACAAAATTAGAAGAAGAGAGTACAGCACCTGGGCACCGTTTTTGCAACTCAGTGTACAATTTTCAGTTTCCAAATCTACTTTTTATATAGTTAGGTCAGAATAAAGATCTATTGAATACCGGGACATTTAGAAAGAACTTACGCTAGAAGTGAATAAGTGATCCGATAGTTTATTTTAATGGAAGATGACCTCCGCCTAGGAGGGCAAGGAAAATCGATATTATCCCAATACATATAATCCCCAATGTTGTACATAGCTGAGCTAAAACCCCGGGATTGGGGTCGGTAAGCTCCATTTCGATGGCTCAAGGGCGGGAATAGAACTAAGGCTTTTCTAAAGTTAAGATATATTATAAAGTTGATATTGGAGAACACGCAAGATAATACCCCAATAAAGTTTCTACATAAACAATATTTTTATATGGAAGGTTTTACCAAAACCGTTTCCTTATACTTGAGTTGTATAAAGGCGTTCCGTACTAACTGGCTCGTCTTTTAGATTCTGAATCCATGTATCACCAATGAATTGCCCGCATAATTATTGTATTTTTTTTCTCGAATCCAGTATTACTATCTAAGTAGTGTTTGGTTATTATTTAATACAAATAGCTCCAAAACTGGTATTAGCCTTAGTTTCTTTTCAAGAAGCCCTGGTATAGCCTGTTCCGTACATGGTCCCGGGTCAACAAATGTCCTTTTGGCCTTGGTAAGAATCAAATATATGTCAAGTACGATTACATGATACAAGAATATTTGGACAATAATACATCTCCGCTGAACGTTTTGAGAAACACTGATCGTGTCCAGGATACAGTAACACCGATTTTGACACCAGCCATACACTCACCCAAGGACACCAGTGTATAACGGAGACGGTAAAAGAAATAGAGTTCTCCCAAAGATGAATTTTATATTATAGTTAAGTACCACAGCGTAGCCTTATAGCTCAGGAACTAAGACAATGTTACCGTACAGCTAGATATAACCGAATAGTCTTTGGTTGAAGTCTTCTCTGGCAGCCGTTTCGTAATTTCGCCAGCCTGAACGAAAATCAGACTCAAAGTGAAAGAAACAGTGATGAGATAATCAGTACAGAATGTTTCTGTTACGTCAAGAGGGATATATGAGTTTTCTAATACAATGGAGGTATTGTAGACTAGGATTCTGGCACGAAAACTGTATATCCTGTTTATAGTAGCAAAAAAAGAGAGATAAATATCATGTCTTCCCCAGGATTTGATGTTCTCTATCATTCTCATTGAATACCTTCTCAAAACATTCTAGATTGAAGACCAACATGTCTCAAGAGCAGTCCAACATCGACAATACCGCAGTAGCTCCCCAGGCTGGTCCAGGGACTACTGTAGCTGCTGGCAGCATCAATGGTAGTCCGCATTCCCAAGAGCAGACCAACATAGATACCGCAGTAGCTCCCCAGGCTGGTCCAGGGGCTACTGTAGCTGCTGGCAGCATCAATGAATGCCCGCATACCGAAGAGGTATGGGAGTCCTTCATCAAAAAAGCGATGTCCAGAAGCGAATTTAGGAGTATGTCAAGAGGGCTTGAGATCAATACCCCACAACTATTCATTGCGACGACCCTCTTTCAGGGGTTAAATAAGGACATCCAAAAGTATAATAAAGAGAATGGGGTGGATATTAACAGTGGACTGGTTCCAGAGAGCTTCTACGAGGAAATCTACGAGAAGTGGATGACCGCTTTCGAGAAGGCTAAGTCCGACGACAATGCGGAAGCCGCATGGGCCGCGTTTTATAACACATTTACAAATCTCCAGGCATTCAATCAGAAATATCGTTTGCCTGAAGGATGGAATATCAATTCAGATATGGTCGAAGCAAACTTTGGCTGGAATTATATCCTGGCCAAGGCAGAAACAAAGGAATCCTGGAAACTAATGGTAGAGCAGATAGGGAGATACATTGTTGATGGTTCAATATCCGCCTTTTTCAGAGAGCTGAATAATGATATCCGGGGTTGGAATATGATTAGAAACAGACCAGAAACCGAAAGATTGATTCCTGAAGATGGTTGGAAGAATATTTACCAAGACTTTGTTACGGCTATCGACAAGTCCTCTAACGAACGAAATAGAAATGCTGCACTGGAGGCGGATAAATACAGAAGAGAGAAGATCCAAAGCTTCAATGCGCAGTACTGTTTGCCTGACGCCTGGCTATATAACTACCAGTTTCCGGAGGGCTGGCCAAGCAAAGATTCAGAGAATGAAGTAAAGCCAGAATTGGAGTCAGAGGATATCGACCTCGATGAAGTCTCAGAATATGAAGACGAAGAAGAGCAGAATACAAACGATGTTACTGGTCTCGACGAGCTGGAGGAAGAGGTGAAAAACGAATATCATCAGGCAGACGGCGAAGTTATCGCCTGGTGGAAGAGAGGTGTTGGCTCACAAGTATTTGTCCGCTATGGAGAAGGTTCCAATACAACATACCGTATCCGTGCTGGCGCCTCTCACATGTATGATCCGGCCAAAGTACAAATGATATTAAGTTCGGGGGCCGTACTCGGAGACGAGAAATCTACATGCTCGCGTGGCCGGGAGAAAACCATGGTCCCGACTGAACTTGGTACAATGAAAGAAGACTGGGCATACACGCGAAAAAATGTTCGTGGAATTGTGGGAATTGGATGGAAGGTCGATGACGATGACGAAGACGGCATCGAGCCACTGGAGCTGTTGTCTCCAGAGCCGTACGTTATATATCCCCATACGCGGGCCTTGATCGAGTGGACGGATGGTAAGGTTACACTAGAGGATAAGGCCTTCCTTCGTCGTATCATCAAAGGATCCAGCCTTCAGGTAGCTCGAGTAATTTACCAGAAAGCCTTGAGGCAGGAAATCCAATATCGGAGAGCCGAGGGTTTACCATACAAGCATCTTTCAAAGAGTGCCTCTGGAGTCCAAGGTAAGAAGAAAGGAGGTGCACTTGAAGAGGAAGAGGAGGAGGAGGAAGAAGAAGAAGAAGAAGAAGAAGAGGAAGAAGTGCCCGCGTTTGCCAAACCTAGCCGGGTTCGCTTTAGTGAGCTATCAAAGGGAGGCGCTCAAGCCACAGCAAAGCCTATGTCAAAGAGCTCACTTGCCAAGGAAAATCGGCGGTTGCGAGAACAGCTTGCATCGGTAATGCAAAATGCATCTATGTTTAACTCTAGCCTGGCCCCGAAGGGGAAGTATACAAAAGGCTATGGCAACGGGGTTGGATTGGAGTATATGGCGGTGCCACAGCGTCGTCGTCGCCGAGTACAACGCCCGGTCCCTACTGAACTGTTGTACTTCTAAGTCGAAAGTGAACAAGTGGCTTGAGAAGGTCCATAAATTATTACCATACTCTGGTAGTTGATCTAGCTGCCTGTTTCTTAATCGGTACTTTCTTAGACTTCCGCTTATTTATTTTTTTTTCTGCAATGCTTTCTTGTGGTAGCTCTCGAGCTTTACTTTTCTTCTTGCAACCCAGATGCTGGACGTCTGGGCTTTGCTATCTTGTTAGGCCCCTTTGTATTTCTTTTCTTTATTTTTTCTTTTTACTTTGAATTATTCGTGTTCCCTGTGCTAATCTTCAATCCCAACTGATCAACTAATGTCTCTCCTTGAATGGGTACTGAGGTATTGAATTCAATGTTGTAAATTATTACTTGTGAGTTAAAATAAGAGAGAAAGACTGAAATTGTATTTTACAAAGTGGTGTACAGAATAGTCTTTTTACCTTCTTCCAAAAGCCCCACTAGAAAAATATAAATAAAAACTTAGAACAGGAGTAGGGATTAACCAGCGTCAATATTGTTTTAGGATACAGAGATATATTGTATTGAAATCTAAAATACTTTACTAGGTTCCCATGCGGATAACTCCACTAGTTATTAGTGAATGTGTTTTGGTAATATAAAACTAGAATAAAGAAGAGATAGGCTAATATTTATAAGAGTCAGTCTCTTTGGCTAAAATTATATGTGTACGGATATAACCTTTGAAAAGTGAAAATCTCCTTGTCAAGCTATGGGTGACAGGCAGGGTATAAAAAGCGCTTGGAATGTCCAGAGCGATCTGCATTCTCTGCCAGTTGAACTCTTGATCATCATAGTCCAGCTAGTACATGAAGAAAGCTCTCTTAAACCGCTCTCAGGAGTCAACAGGCTATTCCGGCAATTGTGTACGCCAATTCTATTCAGTAAACTTCGGATTGCGTGCTCTACAGTTGGTCTGGACCGTCTTGCCTCAGCATCTGAATCTTCGATCAGAGTATTCGTGAAGACAATACGCTATGAGATTCCTGAGCTCATTGACCCATGTAAGCTATGATGTGCTATAATATTGAACCAACGGCTAATTATTTGGTAACTTCCAGTAACCCAGTACACGGATTCATTTCGCAACTACATATACACTCCGTCTGAGTACATCCACGATAGAGCAGACCTATGGTGGCCCATAGGACGCCGTGGTATCTCGTACTCTAGACTGCACTCTTATTTCAGTGCCCAGTCACGAGAACAAGACTCTATCATCCGCTCCGCGCGAGATCTCCAAGTGTTGCGTACATCACTCCCACGCTTTTCGCGTCTTCATTCGATCTTACTATGTTTTATCAACGGCCTCAAATCACCTTTCCAACCGCTATCTGACAGAGTGCTTTTGGACGGTCAGTCCTTCTTTGCAGACCACGTGAAAACGCTGGCTACTGCTGTAGTTGCGGCCAGAAGACAAGGCATTGTTATCGACACACTAGCAATATCAGGTTACTATCCAAATCACCTCTCACCAGACTATCACCTGTCGCATCTTCTTGATGATGCTTTCGCTGATGTTGAAGAACTACGGTTAGAGGATAGCCCTGCACTCCTAGAATACTTTACCCGCAATCCCCTGCAGCATCTCCAGAGACTCGAGTTTGGAAGCTACTGGATGTCTGTCTTGAAACTAGAAAGATTTGTTTACGCCCATAAGGCAACACTTCGATATCTTCACCTTGAGGATATTTGGTACATACACACGGAGGATCCCACAAGTGGAATTGACTTATCAATTGCAGATACAAAAAAAGCCTTGGAGAGCATAAGTCATATTCGTCAATGGGGTATACTGCGCGAGCTTACCATTAACCGACAGATCACTGGGCACTGCGAGATAAGGGAGGTGTTTGATAGAACATAAAGACTGTAAGCTCTAGGCTTTGGAGGGATAGATGTCTTCACTGCTCCTTTCATATCTTCACGATGTGCGATGCTATGGGAACCTACTTTGGAAAATATCGTATTTGCCTGTCTTGAAATTTCAAGATATATCTAAAAACCTTCTGTCTACTATGCAATCTATAATTTCTCACTATTAAAATACAATTGCTGTTCTCCTCGGAGTCCTCGCATAGATCAAGAATGCCCCGGTTTTCCAATTTGGGTAGTGAAGTCCCGGAGTTTCGTATACTTTGAAATATCTTCTGTAAAGAGCAGTCAATTGTGACCTAGGTGAACCAGCGAGATTCACCCATGTTTGCGGTACACTCAACTGCGAAATCAGCCTGCCCCCTTTCGCGGTCTCTGTAAATCCTTAGTTACCGGATTACTAATATTATAAGCATAGTTAATATTATTAGCTGGGTAATGCATTCTATAACTATTACTGGTTTAGCTTCTATACCAAGACAATTTTAAAACGAATGAAATGGATTTTACTGGGCAAGCTGATTTCGCAGTTAACTGTAACTACAGAGGTGTTCCTCACATCAAACTACGCTCGTAATTCTGGCCTCAGGCGGAGGTAAAGCCTTACTAGTGTAATTTGATAAATATAGGAACACCTGTGTACGGAGTATACATTTCATAATATCTCAAGGGTCGTTTTGTAAGGGACACAATTTGACCGCTAACTAGACATAACAGTATTATTAAAAAGCATTGCTCTAGTCTCAATTTCAATACATCTAGTATCTATGTGCTTGGCACAAATGTCCCAGTGAATGTATTATATTTCAGTACCGCGCTAGCCAGGGATCAGTTCATAGTTTCTGTATGGAGGCAGCGATACCTAAGATTCGTAATAAATTACTCATGCATAACTAGTTAGTTACTAGTTAATGGTTACTAACACATTGGATGTGTATTATATGTAACGCTGCCCTGGTTCAACTTACAGTATGAGTGTCTTTCCCTTGAATGAAAATAGATATAAAAGAGCTGTGTTTATCTATGTTATTTAATTGGAGTATAGTACCCACTTTTAACCTAAACTCCATTTATCCATGAAATATTTCACCTGATGATGACTGGGCTAGATTTGAGGTAGTTATGCGATACTTTCTGACATCTTGGCACATATTAATCAACGACAGCATTTTCCAGTCGAAGCCTATCGACTTTCTAGTGGGTCCGAGCCGCCTCCGAGTAACCGTACATTCCGCACTCCCCCGTGTACGATCAGTCAGTTGGTACGCAGAGTTCGAGGCCGCTTGCCAGAACGCAATGGACAATGCAATAGAAGTTCCAGACGCCATCGAGGATATTTTCGAGTACTTCTGCCAATACTTGTACACGGGAGATTATTCTATTCCCCTGCCAGTTGAGACATATCCCAGCAAACCTGATCTTGAACAACCTCAGGTGGAAAACACAGAAACCTATGCCTTGCAGCTGACAGGGAATATTTTTGAGAGTCGGGAGTCTATTGAACGAATATCCAATGAGCTGATCGGCAAGCTTTGGCCATATCCTACCCTTCCCGGAATTGGTCACCACTACAACTACCGCTTAGACTACAGTACTATATTACTTGCTCACGCTCGTCTTCATGTCTTTGCAAGGAAATATATCGTGGGGGCACTACAAGACATATCCCTCTACAAGATGCTGCATATGCTTCATGACTTTCCGCTGCACCAAATAAGACAGGGTGATATCATACGCGTGTTACGGTATTCGTTCCAGGGAGACGGAGTGGTATATAGGGAGATCCAAGAGATAATGCTGCACTACGTGACTCTATATATCAAACACTTCATACGAAACGAAGAGTTTGAGCAACTTTTGTTAGAGATCCCGTCCCTGACTTCTGTATTACTGAACGCTCTTGTTGACTTTCTTCAAAACTGATTTGCCATGTTTGCACCGCTCATCAATGTTTAACCATAATTATTCAATTTTTGTACAACTTTTGCAAGAAAGGTGTCCAGATCTTAGACTGTTGGTTTGCCTTTCGACACTACCATCAGTAGATACTATTGTTATCCAACTCGTAGTAATGTATGATGACGGGCCTACCATTATTGTGAATCCCCACCAAACCTCTTATACGTTACTGTTCTGCCATTGCAGCCAGGACATTCCTGTGGGATTGACTGAGATGATCTAGTATGGCTTGGTGTAATTCATAGCTTCTATGATTAGTAGCCATTTCGCATTCGAAGTGGGCAGTGGTCCAAAGGACTGCTGGCCTGGCCCTAGTATTGCTAACTGTTGTTACGGGCCTCGCAACTATCTTATCGAAAGCGGAGACGCAAGGCAGAAAAGTCACGCAAAGGTAAGATAGCCACACAACCACTAAAGGAAGGTTATGGTGGGTAATAGATTATACAGTGAAAAATATTTGTATTTCGTTACTGACAATTACATGACTAAAACTTGATTATTAAGCGCCTCAAGGGTGGCGCGACCTGGAAGTAGGGTCTAGCTGACCAGCCTTTAAAGCAGCCTACCTCCAGCGCTCCTTCGAGCCTAGTGCGAAAGAGGTATTTTGGGAAATTCCACATCTTCTTTTGAGTATAGGAAGTCCTTTCAACAAATTGGCCGCCTGCCATCGAATACTCTATAACTATTAGAGACCTATCTTAAAGTTCTTCGTCTATAGAATCTATACTTTCAGATGGCTGCCCCATAGTTTGCCGTTTGCTTCGCGCTGATGAGCCATCTTGCTTATCATGACGTTCGTCACGTTCCCTTCTTTTCCCGGTGTGATTATCAAAAGAGTAGACGTACTGCATCAAGTCCGCACCTGGGGCATGTCGATGCGCAGGCTCGGTATATGCTAAAACAACTCGCATATGGCAGATACGATCTATGATGTCGTCCGAGTTGACCAGGCCTTCAGTAGGGTCCGCAAAATAATGGTCGTTGGAGATTGGATCAATCAAGTCACGGAGGTGCTCTTCTAAACTTGGGTGATTAAGCTGAAACTTGCAATATCGTCGCTCCTTGAAAAAGTAAAAGATGACCAAAGATGGGTCCCCGGATTGATACCAAGTATCCAGGATCTCCTTTGCTCCCCGGTGATGAGCCATAAATGTCCGCTGCCCTAGCGGGGCAATATGTGAATCGTCCTCAAATCCAACCGCTATCGGAGGCCTTGAAATTAGTTCCCACGAGACAATTTCGCTAGGAGTCGCTGGAGGTCCTTCCACTTCGCTCTGCATTGGCTCCTTGTCATTATAATCTGGTGTTCCAGGGGGGTGAGGTTCCATAGACACAGGGGAAGACATGTCCTCTGTTTGACCACTATTTTTACCAACTTCAGGCTGAAAATGTGCTGACAATGCCGGTGAATGCGTAATATTATGACTTCCCTCCGTAGGGGTTGCACACAGTGTATCCGTTGACGTATCCCACCACGAGGCCTTGAACCCAGCAGGAAACGGATATCGACCAAAAAAGCAAAAGATAATATCCTGCAAGACAGCAAAGGTAGTTGGGTGTTCTCCTGACAGATGAGCCGGACGATATATCTGTGGGATAAACACAAATTGCTTGTCCTTTGCGTGTGTTTTCCGCTGAGGCAAGCCACAGCGCTTTTGGACAATCGAGAACCCGCCTTCTCCCTCCCAGGCAAGGGCTGGCATCACCGGCTGTTGAGCGCTCTTTGGTCTCGGCCATTTAAGGACATCAACAATCTTAGATGCCCCCCTCTCAGCCCAGTCCTGAGGGTAAGCATAGCGTTCGGGTGGGCGCCGGCCAAGAAGATACGCCCGAGCACTTGGTTTTGCCGTGACCTTTCTGCAAAGTGAGTCTATCTGAGAAGACCTGAATCCCAATGTCTGAGCCAATGTGGCAAGCTGGCTGTTGAATTCTGGTTCAGTTTCTCGGTATATGAAGTCTTCATTGCAGCGCTGATTACGTGGCCCTGCTAGATGGGTGTCAGTCAGACTTTCTATATGACGTATGGCAAACAACCATAGTTGCACATATGCAAGAGTCGCTATGATTCTCTGCGACAATAGTGACGAGACTGCAGAGTTATTACCAATAAACTCTGTGGCACTCTCAGATACCTGGACGGCCCAGGTTGGGGTCGTACCATCGAACCTGCGCATAAGAGCATCCCTCACATCCTTAGATTTCGAGGGAACAAGTCGTTGCAGTGCCTTTGCACATGGCTCCAAAAGCAGAGTATCTTGAATCAGGGACCGCAAGCTTAAGATTCTTCCCTTAATATCCAACAAACCAGAGAGTAACTTTGCTCGGTCGCTGCCGTCGACAACAGACGGAAAAAGCACACTCTGGTCCATCAAGGTCACTATATGCCGTTGGTCAGCATTGGATTCCGGCATCAGATTTTCCACGAGGCGGACTGAGTTCACGTCAACATGAGTTGAGTTCCATGAGAATAGAGTTGACCAGATGTTATAGATTAAGTTCAGATAATTAGAGATCTCCTGTTACCGGTCAGAAGTGGATGCGTTCTTTAGCCCCTAGACAGGAAGTACTTACACTAGGACAACTGCACTCTACGAGCCTTCTGATGAAAGTAATAGATATATCAGGCCATAGACCCGGAAAAACAATTAGCTGGTCGAGGGCCCGCGAAATTCGCGGGTACCTATCTTCCAATCGCTTGAGATCTTCCCTCCCGCGACGAGATATTTTAGACTCCCAGTATTCGATCTCATCGCCACTGTAGTTGGACAGCTTACTATGCCGTAAATTGCGCAAAGCATCGCCTGCGTCCATGTGATCATCATTAAGCGCACGCAGATGGCGTACTAAATTCTCGGGGAGATCTAAATTATTTGACGTTGGTTCCTGATACATTTGAAAACTAAGATTCATGTACTAGGCATACCATCTCGAAATAGATTCACAGCCCACCAATGATCGCCAGAGTACAAAAGCTCTTTTGCCACTTCAACACGGTGTTTGCCATATAGACAGAGTATTTTATAACCGTCCGGCAATGACAGGAAAGGAGGATCGGTGGTCGACTTTAGATTCTCCTCAGATATATCAGATTGGATAATGGTTTGCCGCAGAAGATCTTCGCTGATCGTAGCAGATATATAATATCTTGGTTCCATTCGCGCCAATTGATTGACTTGAAGCTTTTCTTTGAGCTTCGCAACATTATCGATGTTAAAAACCTTGGCACCAAAAAGAGGGAAGGGGAAGGACAGGTTCTTGAAATAAATCTTAGCACTGCCGAGAAAGAAGGTAGATAACTCTGCGACACCTTCATCGAGGTAGAAGTTATCCATAGACGAATAAGTCAAATCACAGATGTGTCTATAAATAGCTGTAGTAGCTTTTGATAGGCCGATAGTCAATATTTTTGCATAGAATAGGGAGCCTTTCATGTTCTGATAGTAAGAACAAGCGGATTAACGATCTTTCAGGTTATACAGGTATGGATCAAGGACATGCAGACACATAATTCGCCAGGAAATTGTCTTAGTATGCCTATGATTTATACCGACTAAACGACGGAGAGTGACTCACTATTACCCATCAGGTGATCCAAACTAGTAAGCAGAGGGCTAGCTTGCGTTTCGATATCCTAGGATTCTGGAACGTCGGTGAATCATTACTTAGACTGCGATCGACACAAGACTGCCGTCAATACCAAGTCTATTTCATTATTATTACTAATAATTAGTATTCTAGTTTTGTGCTAGTCAATAAAGATTTGGGTATTTTAAGAAAAGTATTGTTGTACCAGACTGTTGTACCAGACTGTTGTACTAGACTGTCGTCGATACTAGACTGCCGTCGATACCAGACTGTCGTCGATACCAGACTGTCGTCGATAC